CCCCTTTCCGAAATCCAGTATCACTGAAGAACACAACCTCGAGTAGTGGGAGGTAAGCAAAACTATCAAATATTCTTCTTCATCTCCTTTTAGTTACTCCCCTTGCGCTTTCATTTTTATCTTTAAGCCTGTGGTTTGTCCCTTGGACAGCTTTAATCATGTATGTTGAAGAAAACACCGGCATTGGTATAAATACTCTAAGCAAAATCCAATAACGCGTCGAAAGGATACACAGAATATTCATTAATTTGTCAAAAGACCAAGGAAACTTTAATGTACCGAACTGGAACCTCAAATGGCTTTTCCGTTATAGCTGTATTAATATTTGATCCAGCAGCAAACAGTATCTCAGATTCCGTACAAATTTGGAGGGACAGATCTGCTGTTAGTCTGGCACTAACGTTTTATAGGAGACCGCCTTTACTGATTTGTCCTGTTGTCTTCCTAATCTTAAATGGTGTTAAGTTAGAATTTTCGAGGAGAATGCATTCTGTTTTTTACGTTTCGTTTTGTTGTATTCATTTATGTAAATAAATTACAGTCAAACCTGCTCTAACGGTCACTTGTAAAAGACAGTCACCGGCACAATTGACCACTTCTATTTTTTCCCCTTGCTCTTTTCCCATTATAATGGCACTGTATGAGACGACCACCATTCTAAGATTACCACTTTTCTCCTTGAATGTGGATGATTGTCCTAGACAACTTCGACTGTGGTTTACCTTTCTTTGGGTGAGGGGCGAGTTATTCGTTAAGTAGTTTATGAAATACTGAACACAATGAAGATAATTTGACAATGTGTGAAATGTTTTCAAGATGTCATGCGACCTGGCTCTTTCTGTTTTTGTTGTTGTTGCTGTTGATGTTGTGTTAAATAAAACATTGTGGGTCACCCTCCCCGCCCCCTCCCCCCCAACTCTCTCTCTCTCTCTCTCTCTCTCTCTCTCTCTCTCTCTCTCTCTCTCTCTCTCTCTCTCTCTCTCTCTCCTCCCACCCAATACCTTCCCCATTCCCCAGCCCCGTCATGCTACAGCAGACGTGCCCGGGTACCCGACAGACAGATCTGCGTCTACCCGTCATCGACCCGTCAGACTTTTGGACGGGAGATCAGACACCGATCAACGGTCTGTCAGTCTTTTATCCGGGACTGTAAGCTTGTTCTTTTGGTTGTTGGAGATTGATTTTGGTTTTGGTTTTGTTGTTGTTGTTGTGGTTATTGTTGTTGTTGTTGTTATTGCTGTTGTGTGTGTGAGTTACAGTGTGTGTGTGAGTTTCCGTGTGTCTGTGTGTAATTTTCACTTGTTAAAATAAAAGACAAATGAGACATAGAAAGTCCATGAGTAAGTGTGAATAGTATGTACGCGTGCCTGCATGTCTTTATGTCCGTGTATGCGAGTGCGTATGCGTGTGAGTGTATGTTTGTGTGAGTGTATGTTTGTGTATTTGTGTGTGTGTGTGTGTGTGTGTTTGTGTGTGTGTGTGTGTGTGTGTGTGT